CGTTACAGCTAGGTTGATGAAATTTCATATATAAGTATTTAATCAAAATCGTAGATCCGTATCAACTTTTGAGCGATTTCCGATAACCGGAAGTGGTACTTTTCCTACTTTGAATTTTTCAAAAGCCTATAACTTAGTACTATTTCAGATAGATAAATGAAATTTCATACGTAAGTAAAAGATCTAATTCTCTACCTTCTATTAAATTTTGAGTCATTTCCGTTGACTGGAAGTGGTACTTTACGCTACTTCCAATTTCTCAAAAAACTAATGTAAATTTTAAAAGTAATAATAATATTGCGCACTATTATGCGCTTTTTTATTTGGCGTTCACTTGGTGTGCAATTAATTTGTCTACGAGATTTTATTCTATTTTTACAAGCTTTTATTTAACTCACTTCCTCGACAGTCTGTCTGTCTGTCTAGACGGAAACGCAGGAGTGAAAATTCGGACAGTTCTACTTGACCGATACGATTCAAAGTTAGCACGTGGGTCAAGACATGAAGACAATGCAATGTGAAACTAAATTTGACTTAATTGGATGCCTAATTGATTTTTTATGAATTAATTAAAATTTGGACCGAATTAGTAGGCATGTCTAGCCAACCACACCACACGCGTCATCACCTTCAATAGCTGCGCCATCACGTAATGGCTGCGTTCAAAAACCATTGCGCGCCTACTGAACGTGATGTTCAGTAGGCGCGCAATGGTTTTTAGTCATGTAACTCTATTGTAAATAAAACATGTAAAGTACTGAAAAAAAATTCATAAAAAACGTTTTAATAACAAGCTTTTATGTAATGATGCACTAAAAAGTAGAAAATAAATTATAGACTACTATTTAAATAACTATAAAGAAAAGCGTGGGTGTCTTCCTTAACATTAGTAAAGGTATCCAATAGATACTAAAGTGACCCACGCTTTTCTTTATGGTTATTTAAATAGTAGTCTATAATTTATTTTCTACTTTTTAGTGCATCATTACATAAAAGCTTGTTATTAAAACGTTTTTTATGAATTTTTTTAAAACTTTAAGTATTTAAAATGGATTAAAAATCATGTCTATAGCCCGAGTTCCCATCCCCTGTTATTTTATATAAGAATATTCGAGAAAGTTTAGGAGAGATCACTCCCGGTTTATTTTTTTACACATTTTATTTCAACTAAATACAATGTGTATCTAAACAAGAAATTTACATTAACTCTGATCTTCTCAAAAAAAAAAATTCTATAGCCTTCAAGGGAGAGGAAATTAATGGTATACACGTCGTTTCGTCATGATAATATTGACTTCAACAATTGACTAATTAATCACCGTGCGAAGCTCACTTATGTGCAGGCTGTACGCCTCGGGCAGGCTTTTGATTTCTTTGAAGCTACACTTGGGGGGAGGGGGGGGGGGGGGCTTCAATCAAAAATAGAGTACTTTTAAATTTAGATATAGGGCCTATATCAAGTAAAAAAAAAAGTTTCCTTTTCGAACACTGTTTTCGAACCTGACGGTTCACGGGCAAGTGAAGTAGAGTTCATCAGTTTCTGTGACCTCGGCATATGAAGGGTAGTGTAGTCAGCACTATGCCCAGCCGCCTTTACTTTTCTTAACGTGAGTTAAGTACTCGTAAGAAATGGGTGGACTAGGCGATGTTCTACTGAATTGAACCCATATCCAAACGCTCTACCGCTAGGCCACGCTTGATCCTCACCCCTGGTAGAAATACTTGCGCCTATGGACGGGCACAAAGGTTACACTGAAAGCTTACATAGCCGTACCGATAAAGCTTACATAGCCGTACCGATAAAGCTTACATAGCCGTACCGATAAAGCTTATCTGGCAATTGGGAGGATAAGCCCCAGGTTGAATGTCTGATTCTAGACAAGGAGCTGGATATCGAGGGCCTATATTTGTACAAGGTGATATTTCCTTATTGAGAACGGTGATAAGCCAATCCATTGACCCTTTCCTTGACGTAAATCACCTGTGAGGAAAGGTCTGGGTAATTAGACGTGAATATGTATCAGACACAAACACAGACGCCTTAATTAAGCTGTCGGTGATTAGTCTTCCCCAGGTGTTCTCAGTGTGTGGAGTACGGGAGTTTATGACCGTCCAGTTCATTTTGATTTTGTTTGTTTTTTTTTATTATTTTTTATGCCCATCAGTTCGTTTTTTTATTAGCGTGTTTCCGCCCATTCGGTTAGCTTTTTGTGTTGTTTTACTTTTCATTTCTTAGAAAAAATTAATGGCATTTTAGTATGAATTTTAAAATGTCGATTTTGTAACATAACATTGTATGCCATGAACATAAAGTTTAGTTGTTGGTATACAGGTTATTTGTAATTATATGTAGCATTATACATTATATCACAAAGCCAAAGTTTACGGGTTGTAAAAAATAGTCTGTCAAATTAATCGATGCATAAAATTATGTTTGCACCATTAAATATCTCGCATTTCACACCTCCATTCCACTCCCGCTCTCACTGTAAACAGTCGTGTGACGTCTGGGGGAAGGAGGCTAAAAACCAAAAGCCCCCTGAAATGTGTGAGTGAGAAACGTTTCTGAACTCTCTGCCCTAAAGATCCGTCAGGTTTGAAAGAAACTCATGTTATTCAATGTCCTACACTTTTTGAGTAAACATCCGTTCTTTTAAACTGGTCATCGAAATGGGGCGGAAAAGTTGAGTTGATGCGGTCACCATTGCTCGTAGCACCCATGTTAACTTTCTGGAATGTGCTGATTCTGCTAAACGGTGGGATCAGCGATTAGATTAGCGTTAGGATTAACAATATTATTAGTATCTTGAGATGAAAAAATCTTACGGTCCACATAACATTTTAATTAAAGTCAGTTCTAAGATAAGTTAACTTACATTTCAATATCTGGGGATCAATTAAATAGAGGAAGTAGAATTAAGGTATTGAGAATTAACCACCACCATCCCCATTCCCCGACCGCACACACACACACACACACACACACACACACACTGACGTCGTTTAACCAGAGTTCAATGTACCTGCGTCTTGTTGAGACTTGAACTCACTATTTCTAGTTACGTAATACAAAGTTGAAACCTCGGTTTAATTTTAAGCTGCAGGCTGTTGGCTATTGAGATTTTAAAAATCAGATCCTCACCCAGTGTCAGTGGCGTAGCGAGGTCGGGTGTCACTCGGTGCGGCACCTAATGGTGTCACACCCCCCCCCCTCGCTACGCCTCTGCCCAGTGTCAAGATTTTTACCGGAATGGTAGAGTTTCGCTTGGACATTTCTTTCATTGTAGGTTGAAAACTGTGTTAGGTGTCATCTTCTCGCCTTACCCCCCCCCCCCCCCTCCACACACACAATCAATTCTTCTTTCGGCGCTTAACTGACCACAGACCAAACTACAAGGCAGCAGTTGTTTGAAGTTGTCTCTCCTAGATGGGTTGCTATCCCTAGCTATCAAGCCTTATCTGCCTAGGGGTTCGAAATCATGACTTTTCTGTTTAGCAGCTACGATCTGTACCGAACCTAATCGTTCCGACCCCGGTACAATCACTACAATTCTAAAACTGTCATTGAAACCTAGGGGTGTATGCTAAAACACCATAACTCATCTCTAACTACTGCTGTATAAGTTGCCATGCAATAAATCGGTGTACCCACACATCCCGTCGACCTGGCTGAACGCATCATATCCTACACTTGGTTGTGTTTACATAAGTTGAAGGAGGGAGAGTAGATGGAGAATCGACACCTCCCCCACCCTCCCAACAACATTATTGTGTAACCCTACCCATGGGCCATAACTGAGTCACTCACGCTCGACCTGGTGTGATCAACTCCCCTGTCCTGTAAATAAATTGTTGTCACTGGCGTACCTAGCAACGTAAAACAGAAAGCTAATGACGCACAAATGGCGCCTGCCTAAATTGTGTTCCACTCGAGCAGGCCGTTTGTCAAGAACTGAATGCAGGTAGTTGTCACGTGATTCCCGGGTCCGTCTCTGTGCCAGCCCTAATCAGGTCTGTGAGAAAATTAGGACCGTATCTTGTAGAGCTCAGATCGATTTCGGCTCCGCCTGATTAGTGATTGGTTATTGGTGTTGGGCACAACAATTTTCAGAAACTGAGGACTGGGTGTGGGGGAACAGACTGGGGTATAGGCACATCAAGCAAACAGTTGTTTTTGTGATATATTTGTGGCACAAATCGTGACGGTGGACACTTCGAATATTTGCACGCTTTCTATCGTTATTGTTAAAGCTATTAGATATAGAACAGGTAAGACAGGTAATGATTAGTATAATGTCAAAACTTAATGAATAATTTTAAGCGAACATTTTTATTTTTAAAAAATGTTTTACTGTTTAGTAAAAACTCAGACAATAATCAAACATTGTTGATACTTATTATTAAAACTAAATCAACCTAATTTTTTTTTGGATTAGTTATTGCTTTTTTCATAAATACAATTGTTTTTTTTTTTAAGAAATAAAATTTTAAGGTGAAGTTTCTGTAGTGTTACATCAATTTCGGGGGGGTGGGGTATTTTTTCCGGTGATGTGTGATGTTGATGGTGTTTAAACAATGGCAAAAAAAAGCTACGTTACTTATAGATGGCCCCTAATTCAGTCGTGCAATGTTACGCTAAACCCCACCTAATCAGTGCTGGGGTTAGCCACACCTGAGCCAGGTCTGGCAGAGGTGTGTAGACCACCTCCACGACACCTGATCACCGCAGGTAAACACACCTGGGCTGGTCACTCTGGCCACATTCCGTCCTTCTCCCCCGAGATTAACTCGGGCCTGCTGGGCCGAGTGGCTGGATATCAGAGCTGTTGGAATTATCGCGCCGATAAGTTGAAAGGGGGGGGGAATAATGCGATTCCAGGGGGGTGGAATGGCTGGGACAATAGCGCCCTAACTACGTCATTGTTCTAATTTCAAGCATTCTGTGCCAGACCGAGCCTTATAAAGTCGACGGCCATTACAGAACAGAATAGTCCAGCGGTCTTTTGGATAGACGTTAGTTAGCAGTATAAGGCCAGTACAGAACGGAACGGTCTAGCGGTCTTTTGGCTAGACGTTAGCTAGCTAACAGTCTCAACAAGTTAGTATTTTTTTTTATTTAAACGTGTTAGGTCAGACTTATATAAATATGTTATGCTGCACATGTGCAAACTAGTGTAGTCGTACAACGAAACCGTTAAATTAATTGTATAAGTGCAGTGTTATATGCATATGTTATGCTAGACTCAAAACACTGAATTCTTAAACCATGATGTAATGCGCTAATAGCCGCGAATGTCGGTAGAAGGAATCAAATCAAGTTACATATGTCAAGTCCAAACAATTTAAATCATGTGAAATGTATATGTGGAAACATTGTATTCATATAGACATGAGTCACGAACTGAAGTTGTTTGTTTTTAGTTACTTTTAACAAAATGCTTTTTAAAATTGATTGTTTTAGGAGAGTGAAAAGGGGAGGAATTAGAATAGTATAGTGAATTATTTTTTTACAAATAATATCTTCAATTTCGGTTTAGGAAAATGATGTTCCGATAACCACGTTAATATTATTTCTCGATCGGTCTAAATTTCATACCTCTTCTAACGTCAGTTTTTTGTTAATTTGTCAGCCTCAAGGTGATATATAATGTACATCACACACTTCTTTCTTAAACACAGTCATTTCAATATGGGTTACTAAGCGATTGACAAATGATCTGACATTATAGTAATGTTATTTTAACTAACATGTGTGTGAGAGGGGGGCGAGACCCATAGCAGTCTTTATATTTCAATGCAAACATATCCCGCTTGATCGTTTTTTATAAATAAAACAGCATCTCGAACTATTGCTGTACGCTCCTGCAGATAGCATCTAATACTTGATTCTGTTTTTGTACCCTTCTACGTGTGACTCAAAGCCCATGACTGTCGTGTATCCTCCACAGATGACATCTAGCACCTGACAGTTTTTGTACCATCTCTCTCAGATAACATCTAGCACATGACAGTTTTTGTACCACCTCTCTCAGATAACATCTAGCACCTGACAGTTTTTGTACCACCTCTCTCTGATAACATCTAGCACATGACAGTTTTTGTACCACCTCTCTCAGATAACATCTAGCACCTGACAGTTTTTGTACCGCCTCTCTCAGATAACATCTAGCACCTGATAGTTTTTGTACCACCTCTCTCAGATAACATCTAGCACCTGACAGTTGTTGTACCATCTCTCTCAGATAACATTTAGCACCTGACAGTTTTTGTACCCTCCACCAGATGACATCTAGCACCTGACATTTTTGTACCATCTCTCAGATGACATCTAGCACCTGACAGTTGTTGTACCACCTCTCTCAGATGACATCTAGCACCTGACATTTTTGTACCATCTCTCAGATGACATCTAGCACCTGACAGTTGTTGTACCATCTCTCTCAGATAACATTTAGCACCTGACAGTTTTTGTACCCTCCACCAGATGACATCTAGCACCTGACATTTTTGTACCATCTCTCAGATGACATCTAGCACCTGACAGTTGTTGTACCACCTCTCTCAGATGACATCTAGCACCTGACAGTTGTTGTACCATCTCTCAGATGACACTCGCCAGGATGCCAGAGAAACAACGCCCGTCGACCGCCAGCACCATGTGCCTGGTGCTGAAGCCGCGGCAGGAGGACTACCGGTACGTCTGCCACCTGTCTGGCAGCGAGAACGAGCGGGCCGCCTACCGGAAGAACCGCGTCATCCAGATGCGGCTGAGCACTTACCTGGCCGAGGTGTGCCTCCAGGAGAAGAGCTCTGCCAGACTTTTCAAGACGGCCGAGCACAGGTAGGACCACCTGATGTTGTTGTTGGGGATTTAAAATGGTCGATGCTGTTGAGCAGGGGATAAAAATAATTTGTCATTCGACGAGCGTCATTGATGTGGAGAATGTTGGGGTATTTTTCAAAAACTTGAACTTTCAAATTCTGATCACCACTGAATTCATGATATCTCTCTCCCCCCCCCCCCCCCCCTCTCTCTCTCTCTCTCGTTCGAGTTGCATTAAGGGATCTCTTCCCACCTCCGGAGCACGTCCACTGCTACAACTTCTTGTTAATTGAAAACTGTTTCTTTCAGACATTTTTTTCTCCAGAGGGAGTGGCATTTGTAACTTTTGGGTGGGAGCTCACTTAAATTTTCGGGAGGAGGGGGGGGGGGGGGCGGACACTGGTTAATTATATACTTTCAATTTTTTTTTAAATCTATTTCGCCTGGGATGGGGGGGGGGGGTGGCGGCGATGGACATGCTCAGCGGGGACGGGACGAAGAAATGAAATACCTGAAAGATACTCTGCTCCGGCTGAAAACTATCTATATATATAATTCTCTTCTTCGAGCCGTTAGAAAACAAGCTGCAAACGCTCTCCCTACCTCCCCACCCCTACATGGTTTTAGTGAGCTGTGTTCACTCTAAATGTTTACAAGCAGAGCCAACGATTTTAAACGTAAAGGGGGGGGGGGGGGAAGGAAGGGGGGGGGGTTATGGTCCTTAACGAGCTACTTATAGTGTTTTAAAGAAATATTTTCAGTGTCAGCGTTGGTACTGTCGAATTCACAAATTATGAATTATTGAAAATTAGAAACAACTAAATAGCGGCGTATGTTATGCCGCGGGCCGGCTCGTAATACATATTCTGGTAGAAAAACTATAGCGTTTCAGTGCAGCTGTTAACTATCACAGATACTTTGAAACCAATAAAATCGTCCTAATTTTAGCCTGTCTTTATTTCTCTCTAGATTCCTGCAAGAAGCCGCCAAACGTTCTACCATCCCGAGGTCGGCCATCATGTTGCAACAGTTACGTCACAGCAGTACTAGACCTGCTCCAACTTTACCACACTTGCTTGCCAACGACGTCACGACTAAAAACCAGACCAATGGGTTCAGGGATACGGCTGAGCATGTGACTTCATTCGACCAATCAGCTTCCAGTTTTAGTCCTAACGAGAACTACACGAGTTATGTCATGCGCAGAAGCACTCCTGTGCTGATAGCTAGCGCGGTGCGGAGACGTGGTCTCGCTAAAGACGAGATGTCAGAGCGAGACGATAGCCCTACACCATTCTACACCAGTAGACCGCACAGTGTGCTACAACCCATCCGTCCCTCACAGCCGTTAGGTGAGGTAGGTCAGTCTACCGTGGCCGGTGATGGGGCAGTTGGGGATCAACGACCTGAGGACTCGACTGCAATACAACCTGATATCGCACCAACGGATGGTGCGGTTAGTGCCAAGCAGTGCACACCCAGCACTGCTGAACACACCTCAAGCACATGTGAGCACACCACTAGCCACACACCAGACTACACAATCAAAGTATATGAGAGCGGCACGCTACATAAAGAGTTTCCTCAACGCCAACTAACTCTTATCCAAAGCAAATCAAACAGACCCCTAAACGATAACCAGTACCCAGATGTATTATCTGGGAATTACAACGTCATTCAGACAGAAGATGACATTGAATATTTAGAAACAGCCTTGAACTTTGACTTAGAATTAAATGAGATCGCCCAGGACGATTTTGTCGAAAAACGCGAATCCCAAAATCCTAAAGAGTCGCCGTACATTGAGGGTAAAGCAACAATACACAGCAAGCACGTTTCCCGCCCAAAGTTGAAATATGTACACGCTCCTCTGGCGCCCCTCCGCCACAACATCACCAGCGTTCTGCGTCAGGAGCGGAGCAAGTACGAAGCGAGTCAGTTGAGGATCCAGCAGTACCTCCATAACATGCCGCCTATGGATAGATGAGGGTCCTACAGTACCTCCATAACATGCCGCCCATGGACAGATGAGAGTCCTACAGTACCTCCATAGCATGCCGCCCATGGACAGTTGAGGGTCCTTCGGTACCTTCATAACATGCCGCCTATGGACAGTTGAGGCTCCAGTAGAACCTTCATAATATGCCGCCCATGGATAGATGTAGGTCCTACAGTACCTCCACTGTATGCAACCCCCAGCCGTTAAACCTCGGTGTCATATACGCGTTCGGCAGCCATTTTGACACACATCGGCTTTAAAAGTTGACATGTTGCAATGCGATGAAAATCATTGTTAGCCATTTGTTGCAATGTTTTTGTCATGCTATGACACCCTGGGACACCGCTGATCATCAACAAACTGTTAGACATCTCTGTATTGTATATAAACATTAAATTTGTGAGTAACAACGTTATATGCAGGGGAGGTGGGGGATGAGATAATTGATAAAATTATCGTCGTCCAAGATTTTGCTAGAATATTACCAAACAAGACAACAAAAAATAAACAGAACTCACCAAGCCACCTTTGTTGAATTTATTTTTATATAAAATGAAAATGTTAGTTTCTTATTTTAATAAATGTATTAATTAACTGCCATATCTGTAAGTGTGTTGTATATTATAAACCAGTTGAGTGAATCAATCTAAAACGTGCCACAGAATTGTATAAGGTTTTGTAGGGGGGGGGGGAGGTAAGATTTAAACACCCTGGTATTGTGTACTGTAGCAAGCTTTGGCAATCATCTCATGGCACCAAACACAAGACGTGTATTAGCATAAAACATACAGACAAATAATTCAGGTACTTCACTAGTTAAGTTTGTAAAATTGTTGGGCTTTTTTGGGATAATAATTTTATCGACGATTTGGTTTTTTTTTATTTCGGTGACATTTCCCGTTTTAGAAATTTGAGTTTTGAACAAATCAATATTTTTTACATGTTTTAAATTAACTTATTATATACTTTCTTTGTCAAGTAAAATACAGCATGTAGGCTACTGTTGGCATTATAAATTTGAATTAAGTGTACTTAAAAGTCTATCTATTTTTTTTTTAATCCTAGTGAAATTCAAATCTTATTGGACGACGTGGTTGAATGGTAGAGCGTTCGGTTACCGAAGGTCTCAAGTTCGGATTCCGGTCCTGACTCGGGACGTCCCTGAGTCCACCCAGCTCTGATGAGTACCTATCTCACGTTGGGGAAAGTAAAGTCGGTTAGGGGTAGTCCTGACAGCATCATCCCTTCATACGCCGATGTCCAGAAATATTTGAACTCTACTTCATCTGCCGTATGAATTTTTAGGTCTGAAAGGGGAGCTTCACTTTTTTTTTTTAATTCAAGTCTTGAGCCTTTTTAAAGCCAATGATAATCACAGTGGGTAAAACTTGGTTAAAGAAATGTAATAAATGAATTAAAAATGGAAAGCTTTGGTTTAAATTTGTTTTAGAAGGAGCCGCAGAGAGATCAAAGTTTGGGAACCAGTCTTCCTGAAACACAGCTATAAATTGTTTGATTTGACATTTCTTGAAAAGCATGAGCACAATGCTGACTAAGTATCTAGATTTACCTCGTGGGTACATCTTAGCCGGATCCCAGGACCCTTGTTGGTCGCTGGACCTATTGTTTCATCCACCACACACAGTTACAAGGTCTCGGAAGCCGCAGCTAGATCTAGCTACAAACAGCCAGTCAAGTTTCTAAAGCCACCAAGCTGGCTCGCTGATCACTGTGGGAGCCGTGTCGCCAGGTAATGTCGATGTACCTGTATCTGAGCAAGCGAGTGGCCAACCATCTGGACTTCTGTCATGAAATCTCTATACTTAACAGGACATTAAAAGTCCACTAACATTTTAAATTCATCTGAGGTCGGTGTGGTCGGGTTTGTAAAGCTAATAGCTGCTAAACCGTAAAGTCTCAAGTTCGAACCCGCGGGCAGATGATGGTCGATAGCTGGAGACCGTAACTCATCTAGGAGAGACAATTTCACATTCAAACAACTGATGACTTGTAGTTTGTTCTTGGATGGGAAAATGATATAGACGCAAATAGAAAAATATAAGCTGGAATGAAATCGGAGTCTACGGCCTATTTGGCGAATATTATGTTGACACGTAATACTAATGTTGGAGGAATACCGCACACCATTACAAATAAGAACAAAGAAGAAAAAAAATTAAGCCATTTAGAAGAACACTGAGATTGCTATCTATAATAAACCGGGAGTGATCTCCCCTAAACTTTCTCGAATATTCTAATATAACACCACGGGGGATGGCAACTCGGGACATAGACAATATTTTAAATCTATTTCTAATTAATTGTTAGGTGGGGAGACTGGGGTGTTAGGTGGGGAGACTGGGGTGTTAGGTGGGGAGACTGGGGTGTTAGGTGGGGAGCCTGGGGTGTTAGGTGGGGAGACTGGGGTGTTAGGTGGGGAGCCTTGGGTGTTAGGTGGGGAGCCTTGGGTGTTAGGTGAAAACACTGCGGTGTTAGGTGGGGAGACTGGGGTGTTAGGTAGGGAGACGGGTGTTCGGTGGGAAGAATGGCCGGGGTTTTAGGTGGGGAGGCTGGGGTGTTAGGTGGATAGCCTGGGGTGTTAGGTGGAGAGACTGGGGTGTTAGGTAGGGAGACTGGGGTGTTAGGTGGGGAGCCTGGGGTGTTAGTTGGGAAGACTGGGGTGTTAGGTGGGAAGACTGGGGTGTTAGGTGGGAATACTGGGGTGTTAGGTGGGAAGACTGGGGTGTTAGGTGGGAAGACTGGGGTGTTAGGTGGGAATACTGTGGTGTTAGGTGGGAACACTAGGTGTTAAGTGGGGAGCCTGGGGTGTTAGGTGGGAACACTGGGGTGTTAGGTGGAAAGACTGGGGTGTTAGGTGTGGAGCCTGGGGTGTTCGGTGGGGAGACTGGGGTGTTAGGTGGGAACACTGGGGTGTTAGGTGGGGAGACTGGGGTGTTCGGTGGGGAGACTGGAGGTGTTTAGGGAGGCTGTAGTCATGCATAATTGACTTGGCTCGAAAAATAAACGGCTCTAACACGTCACGTATCGTTCCTAAACGGCGTTACACTTATTTTGTCTTTTTTTACCTTACTATTTCGCCGTTCATACTGACATATTGTAACAAAAAGTGTGAACCCTCAGCATAGAGGACAATAGATCATAATACACTTAAGCGGTCAGACCCCTCACTTAAGAATGACGAAACACGACTGGGCCCATTGATATTTTTTTTTTATAAGGGCCCAAATACCCTAGCTACGCCACTGAATTCTGAATGACACCAATTTTTTTTCCAAATACCCCCCCCCCCCCCCTCCAACGCACACCACATTTTTTTTTCCATCAAGCCTTGGTAAAATTTATCATAGTCAGTCATTGTTCCATAACCATTTTCTAGAATCTAAATTTTTAATCCTCGTAACGTCAGTATCCGGAAAAGCGTATCGTAACTCCAAGAGCAGACTACGCTGACTGGATATTGTTGCTATTGCTGCATAATTTAACACATCCTTAGCCATAATGTATTAGATGTATGACTAGTTTCAAATCGTAAGTTTACAGTATTACTTAAACCGGGATAAGTTTTTTGGAAATTGTATTAAATTGTTATCTATTGGAGATAATAAACCCACATGCGTATTTTCTAAAAATAGATGTGGCTACTCCTGTTCCCAAAAACGTAAACAAACCGGTTAATTTACGTCAATTTACGATGAATCTTTGTAGCCTCTTTGTGAAAAACGATTTCTGTAAATTTTAAACGTTTTCCAAGGTATTTTTCTATCTAGATCTAATCTAGATCTAGATTCTAGATGTAAAGTAGGGGCCTACTAAATAAAAAATACTTGGTAAAAATTTAGAGAAAACCCTTGATATTTCATAGTATCCGCCGCCAACCAATCAAACGCGCGCTTTCAACGCGTTTTGGTTGGCGGCTGACGTCACGATGACGTCACGCGACCCGTAAACACGGCGTTTTTGGAGCTAAAAAGGGCCGAAAAAGCCATTTTTTCTACGTGTAGTTCGGATTTTTTTACGTTTTTTAAAATGGGCCCGAAAATGACACTTTTTAGAAATGGACATAGCCATTTTTTCGAAGAATTTATTTAAAAAAGGGCCGTTTTGAGCTATGTTTCGATGTAAACAAAGGCCCATGTCAACACGTGTCAAACCACGTGAAGGCACCCGATCGACTATTTCGGTCACGCATGAGTGGTTTTCGTACGTTCTCGTGAACTAAATACCAGTTTCTTGACAACAAATTGGAAAACAACAATTTCGTGAAAATAACGACCCTAGAGGAATGGCTTTTGAAGATTATTAAATAAAAATCGATGTATTGGCTACATGTGTTGATTCTAAAGTTGTCTATAATAACTATAATTGACTAGTAGGGCATGCTGAAACAACGGCCTTAGGGCGCCGTGTAGTGTGTAGTTTCGCTAAATGTAAATTAATCAGCCCGGCCGCAGATCGACCGCAAACTGTTAAATTTGTTGAATGTGAAAAGCATACTACTTACAAATTACTTTTGAATATTCACATCACACAAAATAATCCCAAAGAAAGCACAAAATAAAATCCGTTAGAAAAGCATCACCATGAAATTTGAAAACCACAGTATGTCAACCAGCCATCTTTGGCTCGATCTAGATCTAGAGGTCATTCTTTAGCCTACACATGTGTCTTGTCAACAAATTTAGTTTCTGATGGTACACGAGATTTAGATCAATATATTAATTAACAAACTAACTGAATTCCAACATTCTATCACTCTAATCCTAAAATGAAACAAAATTTGAAGCACAATGATCTAACGAATAAATCCCACTCTAAGTAAGTGTCGCAGCTTTAATCCTGGATAGAACCATAGTGTGTAATCGTGTTGTGAGTAAACTCGCACGAGATAAAACACCGACCTAGACCTTCCTGATGCTGTGTATGGCCCCAAAGTTAAATGCTGGGAGTAGGGGAGGGGAATTAGATTTTTTTTCAATAGTTAGGTCACCAGTAGCTCACGCATCTTAACGGGGTTGAAAGTGTAACTTTATATTCAACTAGGCAAAAGGTGGAGGGTGGTGTCATTTAAACGACGGAGCTATATTTTTAGTCGAAGAATACGGGGAAGCCGGCATTTGAAGCCGGCATTTGATTATTGTCATTGCTATTGAGTACAACCCTTTATTCTAGTTTAATGCACGACTAGGCTACTCATTACGAAATCTAAAAAAATGTGGTTGTGCTACCAGGCAAAAGCAGCCTAATATTTCTACTGAATAGGGTAGGTATTTGACTTTGTTTATTTAAATGCAGATCCCATTAGCCTAAACATATTTGGATGCACATTTTAGTTATATCGTAAGGATTAATTTTATAATACAATGCATATATTCTGGCAGTCCTTCAAGTATTAGTAGTTATTGGACTATCCATAACTTGTATTTCAAAGATTTATAATGAGCGGGATGCACTCGATGTTTTAAGTGCTACATTCGGTAGCTGTTACTTTGTGCCTGACAGCTTCCCAATAGTTCACTGTTAATTGTTAATAATGTAAACTGAGCTTGACGAGACTCCCATCGCCAAGCAATCGTATGATAGACCCAGCAAGCATCACTCGTTAAATTCGACAACATTGCTATACCAGTCCTTGATTATTTTCATTACTGCCTCGAAACGCCTAGTTCTTGGTTTTAAAAAAAAAAGTCTCCCTCCCCCCCCCCCCCTTTCACGCTTGCGCCGACGACGTCATCATAGACCAATACCACGGAGCATTTTTTTTTCACCGAGTATAACACACCCCCCTCTCCCCCTCACAGCAAGCGCCAACAACGGTCACCCAAGGCCCAAGGCCAATAACACGAACCACGGAGCATTTTTTTTTTCAATGAGTATATACCCTACCCACCCGCCGCCTTACAGAATACCGCTAGTCTTTACAAACGGGGTTAAAAGTTTACCTTTAAGCTCAAGAAGGGGAGAGGGTGGTATTGAAACAACGATGTTCTTTAATATGTTTAATAGTACAAATACAAAGTAAAAAATTATACTTACCTACTTCTATAGCATCATACATAATTTTATAATTAGCAAATTAATTAATTAATTAAGTCTAATGATAATGAAGGGAGATAGTTTATTTTGGTTAAGGCACGACACACAACACTACTATGCGTGCGTGGTATGTGGCCTGACCGACCGAAAGGAGATTGTTTATATTATTGTTTTGAGTTTATATTTAACTCAATGCAACGAGCCCGCCGGTTGGTTGAGGCCACGCCGGGGGGACGATCTGACCGGGATTCAAAGGGTCGATTCTAAATATCATCCAAATACTTTTCTAGAATCTGATCCAGATTTCTAGATCTAGCCACTCTAGCTAGACTCTAGAGTCTAGAGTCTAGATCTAGATTCTAGATCTAGATCTCTAGATCTAGATCTAGTCTAGATTTAGTAAAACTGTAGAAATTTACTAGATCTAGATCTAGAAATCTGCTAGAATCTAGACCAGCCTAAGAACTTGTAGGTAGATTCTAGATCTAGATTCTAGTACGTAGATTCTAAATCTAGACTATGATTCTAGATCTAGAAATCTACTTTTAGATCTACTCTCTAGCTGCTAGCTAGATCTAGGTCGTCCTAGAGTCAATAAATACTAGATTCTTTTCTAGATCTAGATCTAGTATCAAACTGACGGAGTTAGCCTGACTGACTCTTACAAATTAATTTTTTTATCAACTATTTAGATCTAGATTTTTTCTACTATTTACTGGATCTAGATCTAGATTCTATCACTAATCAATGTAATCAGCTAGACTAGTAATGTAATATTTTAGCTCTTTCTCTGGCAGGCAGAGGATGTAGCTAGAGTTAGAAAGAGCCTAATTTAAATATATTTAGCCTAGCCCAGGGGTCGGCAACCTGCGGCTTGCGAGCCGCATGCGGCTCTTTTGATGTCAAGATGCGGCTCTCCAGCTCCTTGCACAAATATCAATATTAATATTATTTTATTTTCACAACTCTTAACAAATCTTATACTGTAAAGAAACACAAGTTTAAACAGAAGAAAAAAACTCATTAGAGAACAGTGAGAATAGGTGCAGTAGAAAGTATACGGACAACCGCTTGGGCACCAGGCCCAGCTCAACAGCCGTGCTGGGGACAGCTACGTGACAACAATATCGTTAAATGGGAATGTTTTTGGCTGGGCGAGAACCAAAAGACAAGTGACCGATACATGGTAATCAAACCGATACCCAAGCCAGTTAGTCGGAATTTGCAGTGTTGAGGCCTGTCTGGCTAATGAGAACCACCTCATGAGCTGGTGATGTCCGTAAGGAAAGAAAAACAAAGTTGACTGCTTTTAAAGTCCTATATTTTTATTTTTTAATAACTAATTTCATTATTCTGGCAAAACAAGCGTATGTTTTTATATGAATAAATAGTATTTCATATATAAAGCTATTTATTTTAAATAACACATTAAATATACTACCTAATCTTAATCAAAATATAAAATATTTGAAATAAAAAAATAATGGTAGTGGCTCTTTAAAACCAGAGAAATTTTGAAAATTGTAACTTTTGGCTCTTCTGCCTCAAAAGGTTGCCGACCCCTGGCCTAGCCCTAATAAATTAGGCAGCTTGGTTTTGAAAAAAAACATGTTGGTATACATTTTGAGCCATCCCAAGAGTATTTTATAGTGTCAGCCGCCAACCAATCAAGCCAGAGTTTTTCCAGGCATCTCTTTTTACCCCCCCCCCCCCCCCCCTGAACAAAATGAAATTTATATAATTTATATAGAAAATATATACTTTTAACAGTGTCCACCCCCCCCCCCCCCGGAGAAAAAAGTCTGGAAGAAACACTGAATCAAGCGCATGCTATCTCCGCGCTTTGGTTGGCGTCTGATGTCACGATGACGCTTTTTTTTCTGTGGCTGATAGTGGGCTGCTATGTTGTTTGTTGTATTGTAATATCACTTTATTGATAGCTAGTCACTACTTAATGTTTACTTAATAAGCAAATAATATTAGTTACTATTTCACCATTAGCAGTTATTCCTCCTCTTAAGGATACACTCATGCAGTTTTTAAAATGATAGTTTTTTTCTCCTCCAGTGTCAGTAAAAATACTTCTTTTCTTTTCAGAAACTTACCTTTAATTTGCTTATTAAAAAGAATAAAGTGGAGACTTTTCTGATATACATATATACATATAATTTCTTGCTCAAGACACATTATTTTCCAACCTGAAGCATGTCAATCTCCATTGCTGTGAATTTCCTTATTGAACAGATCTACAATCATCCAAATACTTCTGCCGTAGTATCAGTCTCCTCACTTTTGTTATGGCTAGCTGTTCGACGTCCATTTGATATTCCTCCAAATCCTTGGTTTATATTTCCCATAATTGGCCACAGGCCTTTACTACGAGGAGATCCTGTGTTGACTTTAAGGCGGCTCAGAAGAGAGTTGGGTGAAGTATTTAGTGTTTACATTGATGCACAACTTGTCATTATTGTTAATGGACTTGCTGCAATTAAAGAAGCTTTTATGACAAGAGGGGAAGAGTTCCATTGGAGACCAAGCACACGAATATGTGACCTTTTCCATTTTGGTACTTTGATTTCATTCATTCTTTCTTTTAATTATGTCATTTATTATTTATAATAGTTTATTTAAACAGTAGCCCTACATCATACAGTGGTTTACTTTTAGTATAGTTTCCTAAAAGTATCTAGTCATAAATACATAACATAGATTCCTTTTGGAAAATATAATTATTTTAATTTGTAAAACAAAAGCTTAATATTTAAGTAATTAATTTTGCATTTTTACTCATGTTGGTGGTTTTAAAAAAATTTTATTTGTTATTAAGTTTAAAATAAAACATAACAAAAAAGCTGGTGTAGTTGCCATTTGCAAAAGCAAAGACCTATCTCACTTGACTCTTATAAAATCATAAATTGCTTCAGATAAAGTTTTTAAAGCTATTTGCATATCTTTGCAATATAAGGAAATCATACAATTACAAAATATAATCTTTATAGTATTAAAAAAAACATTTGAATACTTTTTCAGGTGTGATTTGTAATTCAGGCAAGGAATGGAGAGATCAAAGGCGTGTTACAGAGATGGGTATTCATCACACAGCGACACATGTTCACCAGCTTGTTGATAAGGAAGTGGCACATCTTATCACAGCTATTAAACAGGAGGAAGAAAATCCTTTTAATCCTAATGTAAGAGTTAAAAATGTTAGCAAGAAAAATAATTTTGTAAACCAATAATTATGTTTTAATGGTTTAATTTGTGCTTTTCTTATTCATGGTACAAAATTAAGTGAATTTTCTTTAGGCTTTCAGGCTATTGACAAGATGATCATTGGTAATAGTATCCATATTTGAGTAGCCATTCCAGTTTTACCCCTACATTCACCCTAAAGACCTGAGTGATAAAGCCATCACAGCACCACTTTATTTCTGATGTTTGTACAAGCTGGTTGGGCTTGTAGGTTGAGAATCCAACCACAGTTTAAACTTAAACTACTTAAAGTAGCAATCATATTTTATATGTTTGCTTATTGTCTACACTCTTCTAGAGGTTGGTGTGGCCGGGTCGGTAAAGTTCGTGATTTTTAAACTAAAAAGTCATGAGTTTAAACCCCTGGGCAGATGAGGCTTGATAGCTGGGGACAGCAACCCATTTAGGAGAGAAAACTCCAAAATTAAACAATAGCTGCCTTGTTGTTTGTTCTTGTGTGGACAAAGGCTATGGAAGCAAATCCAAAAAGAAAAGGAGGTTAAAGTTGGAGTCAACGGCCTATATGGCCCATAACATGTTGACGGCATTATAATTAAGAACGAAGAATAAAAGAGTACATATACTTCTAAAAAAAGGGGGCTCCCCTTTCACTTCTTAAAAACTAAATTATTTAATAGACACATATTTTTTCTCTGGTCCACAGGTGCTCCTGCACTCTGCTGTCTTCAATGCCATCTCCTCCATCATCTTCTCACGGAGAATGGACTATAAAGATGTTCGACTAACTAAAGCTATAGAGAGGTTTAAAGAAAACCTGGAACTGTTCTCTGATACAAAGTACCCAAACTTTTTCCCCTTTCAAAAGTTTTTAATGGGAGACTTCTTTGATGTAAAGTTTCTGCGCATTAACATGACAGAGATCCATCAGAAAATCATCAATCCTGTTTATGAGGAACACAAATCTGAATACAGTGATGAGCGAGTTGTAGACTTTCTAGATGTTTATTTGAGAGAGATTAAGAATCACAAAGGTGTGGATAAAACTACAGTTGAAGGTATGAGTGTTAACATTTTTTTAGATGTAAAAGCCATAGCTCATTGTTCTTCATAAAAATGGCAGCTTTGTTTAATACCAGAGGCCATCTGTTTTTTTATGTAGCTATGATATGTAGCTAGCAAAATGTCCTTAATTCTCCTATCAGGCATTTGTGAACTTAACGTGACTTTGTGATGGTATTTATTTGTTTTGTAGATCTTAAATCAATAAATTGGCTGCATTTGAACACAGTTGTTTGGCCTGTCTATTTCAATTGTGCCATAGATTAGTATTATACAATATGTAGCCAATATTTTAGAAATAACACAAGTGGCTCTTTGCTCTATTGTGTTGAGAATCTTTTGATAGAAAAGTAAGAACAAAATTTTGGCAATGACAAATACATATATACAATGCTCACTCCTAGAAACGTCATACAGCAAATACCTAGTTATTTTCAGAATTTTATTTATTAACATGACTTTTTCTCTAATTTTGCAAAAGGTAGACAGATAATTTTGGGGTAATTGAGTTACATTTTCAAGATTCACATTAAAAATACAGTTGCACCCCCCATGTTAGTGCTATTACAAAAAAATGGGATGGGGGGTTAATAAAATGTCCTGAAATTCATTTTGCTCTTTAAGATATCTTTGAAGATTCCTGAAGTGTGTTATAAACTTGTGCATGATCCCTGTATATCATATGTTTTGTGTCAACAGAGAGAAGCTGCCAGGCTGTGCTGTATGACCTACTCTGGCACGGCACAGTTACAACTGGGGCCACCCTGTACTGGGCCCTGGTGTTTTTATTGAAAAACCCAGGTGTGGCGGACACAGTGAGGGATCACCTGGAACCTACACAACCAGGTTTGTTGTGTCTTACACTTCTTTACACTTCTTCTGTAGATAATGCTGTTTTCAATGTTTTCCTTACACTTCATCTGTAGACATAAAAAGTTAATAGGTTGTTAAGTTAATAAAGATATAATATCATAAGCAGAAGGCAAGTCAGAAGGTTCTGGAGATACAACAAAGGAGAGAGCAAATGTCCCTACTTACATCAAGGCATTTCTTTACGAGGTTCAGCGTTGTGCTAATGTTTGCCCTCTATCAATGGCTCATGCTGTGGCCAAGGAAAAATTTCTTAAAGGTTACAGGTATGTTAGAGTTGTTTTTTTAAATAATTTTGTAGCATTTTTATTTAGGCCAAGACTGCCTGCGATATTTTATGACATCTGTTGTTTCTCCCCATGATACTAACTTTTTTTTGTTTCTCCCCTTGATACCAATGTGTGTTTCTCTCTCACCATGATACCAAGAAGTTGTGTTTCTCCCCTAGAATACCAGGCGATGCTGTGATACTGCCTAACCTGGATTCTCTGATGATGGATGAGGATGTGTGGGGAGACCCTCAAGTTTTTAGACCTGAGAGGTTTATCAACTCTGATGGCAAACTCTCTGTACCTCCAGAGTTTATTCCCTTTTTTATTGGTAGGTCATTTTTACTTGAGTCTTCCTGGTAGGTCATTTTTATAGTTTGTTGATATTCATACAGTGATAGTTCATTTGTAGTTACATCTTCTTGGTAGTAATGTATTGGTAGGTGAATTTTGCCATATTCTTCCATCATGTTGGTAGTTACAAAAGTTTTCATATCAGCTTTTAATGGTAAGAAGTTTATGTTCTCATTGTAGTACATTTAAACTTCTGTCAGTGGATCCTTTAGGAGGCTGTTTGTATAAGTACATTTAAACTTCTGTCAGTGGATCCTTTAGGAGGCTGTTTGTATAAGTACATTTAAACTTCTGTCAGTGGATCCTTTAGGAGGCTGTTTGTATAAGTACATTTAAACTTCTGTCAGTGGATCCTTTAGGAGGCTGTTTGTATAAGTACATTTAAACTTCTGTTAGTGGATCCTTTGGGAGGCTGTTTGTATAAGTACATTTAAACTTCTGTCAGTGGATCCTTTGGGAGGCTGTTTGTATAAGTACATTTAAACTTCTGTTAGTGGATCCTTTGGGAGGCTGTTTGTATAAGTACATTTAAACCTCTGTTAGTGGATCCTTTGGGAGGTTATTTGTAGAAGTACATTTAAACCTATGTTGGTGGATCCTTTGGGAGGTTATTTGTATAAGTACATTTAAACCTCTGTTAGTGGATCCTTTGGGAGGTTATTTGTATAAGTACATTTAAACCTATGTTGGTGGATCCTTTGGGAGTCTGCTGGCCCTGCTTGTAAATCTGGTTATACCTGGACCAGTTCAGACAACAGCCAGTACCCTGGGGTTAGGCAATTTCTGCATCATTCACAACATTTATCTGTAGTGTTCAATGGCTAAATAACATTTGCTCAATATTAGTTTTTACTTATTGATAATATTAGTAGTTATTCCACCCTGTATTGTTTTTGTTATGTCTAAGATGTTGAGAGAAATATAAATACATCCTTGTTGCAGGTATTCGAGGATGCCCAGCCTCTAATATAGCAGAGACCATCCTCTCGTCCTTCTTAGTCTCCATGATATCCAACTTCAGCATTGAGCCAGAGGTAGCTGGTACTCTACCCTCGGCTGTGAGAAGAAAAGGTCTCATCCCCTACCCACCAGAGTTTAAGACCAGGTTTATCTCTAGACACTAGTGTAGCTCATTGAGTGGACATGTTGCTGGGTTATGCATTTTTACCTCGGCCAGACAATATTATACCTGTCTGTGGATGGATCAGTGTTGAATAAGTGTCATTATGCTTTGAAAATTTGCTGATAAAAGTAGTTTGAATTTAAAACATAAAAAAAAAAATACCTCAACAGATGTTGTCATCCTGTCTCTGAGCCATGTATTGTATTTTTAGAGACTGTACCATTTATTTTTTGTACCAAAAATCTGTTACCTAGCTCAAATATATTGAGATTAATTTTTCATTATTAGGACATCCATTTGGTAAATACTTCAACCTTTATCTAGTTGTACTTTATTACAGGATATTTTTATTTCTTTAAACACCTGAAAAACTTTTTGGTTGTTTGGTGGCACACACATATGTTTATACACACACACCCCTTTCCAACTGCAGATATAAGAGTAAAAGAAATAATAAACAGTATTGTGGAATCCTAGCATCTATTTTTCATGGAAAGTTAATTTATTTTCGCATCAAAATGTACTAAAAATAGAAGTTCCTATATTTTCACTTCTACATTCAAATACAATGTAGGCTGAAATATGACTGTTGCATGTTTGTTACCTGTAGCCTTTGTATAGCAGTAAGGCATTTGATGTTTTAGAAATATTAGTGCATCTTGCTGTAAAGCATTTGATGTTAGGTGGGTGTTATCAGCTTGTTGTATTGGCATGGAATGAGTTGTTTCCCATGTTGTCTAAAATATAGCCTGTTGCTCTCTGACAATCAAGATGGTTTATTCATGCTGTACCTTGAGTACTTCTCTATGGAAATGTAGGTGTCACCGTGGTGATGGATGGAGACAGGTGGTAGTTTAAATGTCTTAACAGGACAAATGAAGAGAAAATAGTTGATGATGGAAGAGAAGTTAGCTGTATAGATAACAATACAGCTAGTCAGGATCTGAGATGTAGGTGAATCATCTGGGACTATGTCTTGATACAAATCCAGTTACGCTGTATCCCACTGCAGTTTCCTAAACTGTTGTTAGTACATAGGATTAGCACTTGATGTTCCTAATTCTAGTCCTGTCAGAACTCATTTGAAAAGTCCTAGAGTTTGAACTTTAGTTTTTTTCCTTGAGGTTTTTGTGCATAGCTGTCATGTACTTATTGCCAAGTGTGACTAAAGAAAAAGGGACTCTTGTGCTGGATGCTAACTAGGTTATGTTATTTAAAAAGAAATCACCAGTACTCCATCTACTCTATTAATCAGATCCTGAAAGGCACCTTACATTGAGTGTTCACTATGAGTTCAATAGATTTAACTGACCAGACTTAAATTGTTGCTTCCAACCCATATGTACTAGGTGTACTATTCAGTCTCTACCACCATCTTTACAAGATGTACTACTCAGTCTCTACCACCCATGTGTACAAGATGTACTATTTTTATTTAGTCTCTACAACCCATGTGTACTAGATGTACTATTCAGTCTTTAACACCATGTGTACCAGGTGTACTATTCCGTCATGTATATTTCTCCTGTTTGTATATGTAGAAAGTTAATAATACTCTCTGTGTAACACAAAAATTCTGCTAGCCAACTATGACTGCTGATGTTTTAAACTGATATATTTACATGCTTGTCTCTAAATGGGCTTAAGTACAAGGTTTATAGTCATTAAAAAATATATTCAATTTGTAATAAATTTTATAATCAGATACAAGTACTGCAAAAAAAATTATTTTTATCAAAGGTAATGTATTTATAAATTGAGGTACATAATTAGATTTTTAAATGTTTCATATTTAATTCTGCTTCTATGTACTTAATGCTTATAACAGTGGTATGTGGTACATGGCCTAGATCTGATTCTGTGTATAATAATTATCTTGCTATGTGCAAAATATACATTTTTTTTTATGTTCTTTAAATCATATTATGGTTGTATGTATATATTTTTTAACAAATAATCAGAAATGAAGTATGTGCTGAGAGTTGTGAATGCTTTTCTATGGTAGTAGCAATTGTTACATTATTTTTAAATAACTGGCAAATAAAAAGTGTACGTTGATAAGGCTCAACTACCACTGTTGTGTTTGAACAAACAAACTGATAAAACTGTAAACTGCCCTGGGTGTTAATTAATTGAAATGTTCAATAACATGTCCAGATTTGTGTAGCTAAATCAAAAATATGTTTTATTTGAATTCATTATCTAACAGTTTAAAAAAAAATGTCCATCCCACTTATATTCCCACAAATGTTTTTAGTCTCTAACTCGATCAAAACATTACAACACATTACTCTTATGCTAATTACATCAGTATGTGTCCCCCTACCACTTATACAAGTATTATTTATGGCGCATGAAAACATTACTACCATACTTATATTAAAAACCTGGCATACTATAGTCATGTACAAAATAATGTAAATCTACTGAAATATACATGTTCAACTTTAATGTTTTAAAATAGTTTAATGTTCTATGATTTCCCTGTACTCATATCCTTGTTTTGTTTTATATTCAACTAAATCAGATCTGAAATATTTTTTATAGCTCCCATTATGAAATAGGAAATTAAATCACTGATCTTAGTTTGGATCTTGTGAAACCTTACCACACATAGTACCCATCTTTTGTGTCTATGAAACCTGACATGGCTTTGATGGATGTTTGTAGTTAGACCACCACTATTTATGTTGTCCTAGTTGTTGTTAGCTTGAGTGTTCTAAAGACTCATGTGATTCAACTCAGCATTTATCCTTTGTTCAGCCCATGTACAGAGCCCCAGAGTTTTTATTTCCCTATGGTGAACAACACACAGCCCACTGTTTATTTCTATGTAAGCTTTGGTTGAACCAAATGTTTCCATTTTCTCTTCCAGATGTTTCTCTCTGCACATGGAGTTCTTGCATGCATTATTTATGCAGTTTCTTTTATTGATCTTATTTGACTTGCCTATTTGTACATTCCTGTATTTTCATCAGAAAATAAAGTCAAACTGAAAAATGGTGTTGGAAAATATTCTTTGATGCATAATATTGTCCAGATTATTTTTAGAAAACATCTTAAGTTCATATTTACGCTGCTTAGCAAATACAGACCACAACAGAGTGTAGTAATATCAATTCATCCTTACTGAACCAGCGTAAAGTAGATTCAAGAAATAAAAAAATACTCAATAAATTCATTTATTCGAGTTTTACAACCAAATTTTAAAAGTAAAGCTCTGAAAAAATAAGAACATTTGTTTTTTGATTGCAGAATGTTTCTGCTGAAAGAAATTTATGTTACATAAAAATACTGAGAGAACTAAAAGTATACAATAGCATGTGTACTGGGGGGTACAGGGATGATGGAACATGTAACAAACTTATGGGGGTCAGTGTGTTACCAAATATAACGAGCCCTCGTTTCAAAAACACAACATTGAAATACATGTTTTATACTCTAATTATGGAAGTCATTCCACTAGCTTCTAGGCCCATGCCATTAGCCCAATTAAATAATCACGGTCTGTCAAGATAAAGGCCATTATCCCAATAACGTCATTAAGATATGTCAAGTTACATCATTATGCTCTGTCAAGATACAGGCCATTAGCCCCATTAAATCATCAAGGTATGTCAAGATACAGGTCATTAGCCCAATTATATAAAGGTCTGTCAAGATACAGGTCATTAGCCCAATTATATCATTACAGTCTGTCAAGATAAAGGCCATTAGCCCAATTATATCATTTTGCTGTCTAGATACAGGTCATTAGCCCAATTATATAATTAAGATAGGTCAAGATACAGGCCATTAGCCCAATTACATCATTATGCTCTGTCCAGATACAGGCAATTAGCCCAATTATATCTTTAAGATATGTCAAGATATAGGAGGCCATTAGCCCAATCATATCATTAAGATATGTCTAGATACAGGCCATTAGCCCAATTATACTATTACAGTCTGTCTAGATACAGGTCATTAGCCCCATTAAATCATTAAGGTCTGTCTAGATACAGGCCATTAGCCCAATTATATCAGAAGCATGTCATAAAACCTGGCATATCACTAACCACATTTTACATGCCATTAAGCCAGTCTTTTCAGCTGCCTTACAGTTGCAAGCAACACTTGTCACTAATATATAACTGTCAGAACATTAAAAGTCAACCAGTAATTTTTAATGAAACATCTTCAATCAAATAACTTAAAGCTGAATTTTAACCTATTTCCATAGTTAATTTTTTTCTTCTACAGTGTGTATCACATTATTATTACTTTCATTCACTTTTTGTTTCTATAATTTCTGAATAATCCCAACTTCCACACAGAGCTACAAGGACAGGACATATTAGCTTGTGTTTTACCAAAACATTTAAGTTCAAGAACTTGTGGTGCAAACCAATTAAAATTTTAATAGCGTTTTGCTTTGATCATGTAAATAAAATCCCCTTAGATTTTGTTTCATTCTAAACCTTGCAGTCACAACATTTTCAGACTCAAATGACTGGAATATCTTGAATTTAAGACTGAATATTTGACCAAAAAAAATTTTCAAATGTGTTTTTAAAATCTTTAGTCTTCTGCAACTGCAAATATTTTTGTTTGCCATTAGATTCATTATTATTTTTTATAAATTCAAAATTTAATCTTTGCAATTTATAAGCATACACTTAAAATTAAATTTCTACGGCAAGCTAAAAATTCTTATTATTAAGTTTTAATAAGCTCTAATAAATATAATTTGATTAGGCCTATGTCAACAAAAAACTATGATCATAAAAAATCTGTGTTACTATATCTCATCAATTGATTCCAGGTTTTATAATACAATATTTTCAGCAGGGTAATTTAGTATTAAAACATAAACAATTTATTTTTTAAAGTATCTTTTACACATAGATTTTTACATGATACGTTCAAAATAAGCTTGAACTGGATTTTAACATCTAGCTAAAAAAAAAACTAAAAATTTTGGATATCGACTAACTAATTTTCTAACACAATTCTATGGGGGGGAAAAATAACTTAATTATAATTTTTAATGATATTTTTTTTAAACAAGTAGTACTTTAAAGATCAGATCACTGTACAAAAGGCTTTTAAATGTATGTATGTGTGGTTAATTAAACTTTAAATTTACATTCACACAAAAAGAGTCCAAAACTACATACCATTTGTGCCAGTTTGACTATAGTGCACATCATCTAAATTAAAAAAATTAAGCCTTTCTATTGGAAGTATTAATAACACAAAAAATTCCATTTAAATGATTCTTCAGGAATGTTCTTATTGATCCATATAAAAACAGTTTTTTTTTGTCTTAAGCAACCATTTTAATTTTACTTTTTAGGACAAAATGTAAGAATTTCTGGGAGGAAATCTTAAGTCCAAATATAGCCTACTGTAAATAACATTGATATGAGGTAAGATTAAACTTTCCAGTATCCCATAAAACAGATGTACAATAGAATTCTTCTGTCTCAAAATATTAATTAGCAAATAAAACCAGTTAAGTAGTTGATCACATTTCTTTTAAATCAAGACAAAAAAATAATTGTAGCCTACGGCCTGTTGCAACTGGACCTAACATCAAATTTATGGTAGTAGATTGCAGTAGAAAAAGAAATATATTGCAGAATAACATTTGGGGGGAAAAAAATTCAAAAACAATATTAACAAAACAAGAGAATTAATGCTTTGTGCTACTAGATCAAGTCTAGCCTATCACATAAAGAAGGTTGTGGCATTAGACATGTAGAAATGTTTGGTTATGACTTTTTTCTATCTAGTCCCGACTAACAGCTCTCAAAATCTAAAGACATTTCACGAATAAGTAGAAAAAGGCTTAAGTTAAACCATAAAGCACTTTTGTTGAGTCACCAAGTACAATCTGTTTTAAAGTAAATTAAAAACATTCAGTTACAATTTGTTAATTTTTAAAAATGGTGCTTGTAGCTATGTTTATTACAAAAAAATTTCAAAATTGTATTAAATACTACCAGATGTACTTAAAGTTAGCAATAAGTATTTAGTTTTGTAAAAAAATAATTAAGATGCTATTTTCTTAAGAAATGCCACATGGCAACTGGTTTACGAAGAGAGGTCATCATTTGGTTCCAGTGGGTTGATTCAGTCCCTGAAGTGTGGGCCCCTACAATCACATGACCTAGGGAAGGGGTTCTATTCTCAGACTGATACTCAGCCACAGTAATCCGCAACTGTACAGTCTGAAAAGTAGTAATTTCTAATTAAATACACAGTAAAGTAAAAAAAAATTAATCATATAATAGCTACCAATATAGAGACGAAAAAATATCATCAATTTTTTAAAAAGTACTGAGTTTCTCCAGCTAGCTTTTTAATTAAAAACTGTATTGATTAAAGATAATACCCAATACAATCTAACTTACAGGCAATGCAGTTGAAGGAACAGAGAAGATCATGGCTTCATTAAAAATTGGATTTTTCTCTCCTCTTTTAACCGTGGTTTTCTTTTTACTAATCTTCTTTCCATTCTGCATCAAGTACACTTTGACAAATGGATCTAGAAACAGAAATAAACTTTAATGAGCAATCTTCAGCCATTAAAACCTGAAACAGTGGAGGTACCTGCACGGTAAGCTGAGCATGAAGTCACGACATGAAAGTTACAAGCTGAAAAGAATGTACAATTTTAAAAACAACCAGCCATTAATTTTGCTAGTCTGAAATGCCAAGGATCATTATCTAATATAATATTATAAATGCTGAAATGTGGCTAGAAAAATCAATAAGCTGTAAAGAATGATGTGTAAAAAAAAATATGAACTAGGCAAAGAAACAAAACAGGCATTTGCTAAAGGAAATAATATGCTAAAAACACAAATAAATTTAAATATTTAACTAGATGCAAAGGTAACTACCCCCTGAATCTTTTCCATCTTTCCACTTGAGGCTCCTGGCTTTCACTATGACTACTGTCAGCCTTTCTGCAGTGGGCAAATAACTCAGTGAAAATAAAATGTCACCATATTCTGTGGGTTTCTGAAAAACATAAAAAGGTCGAGTTATTTTAAAGAAATAAGATAACCATCAGTTTTGACAAGAAATCAATTACTCAGACAAATTTTATCAGTCTTTGATTCATGACATTCCAATCATTTCAGATAAAAAAGATTGTGAATACTGGGTTCCAAAAAACAAAGTGATTTTTTTGTTTAAAGTGTGATAGATTGTAATCACTGACGAGAAGCCGCGTTGGTTGTTAACAGTCTTTATTTACAGCCATGAAGGAAAGAGGAAGAGGAAGTACGATATCAAGGGACATCACTCAAGATAACAATATACATATAATACTAATACAGAAGAGTGAGTTCCCTTGACCTCACAATTATCTCAATCTATTACATCCCTTTACCCTTAGAACACAATAACACATCTCTCAATAGAACAATTGATAGTATCCTAAAATCACCAAATATATTGTAACATGAACATTATGGTAGATTACATCCTTACAAACAATGCACAATATGTTACAACACAATTAAAATACAAACAATGATGTCAAAGTCCTTTTGACCTTTAAAATCATAGGTCTAACTTATTTGGGACTTTGATTGTCCTGTTTGACCTTCTCAGTGGCTTTTGATTTGGTGACTCAATATTCTGACCATTTGGATTCTCTATCTCAGGAGGTCTAGGATTTAAATCATTAACTCCAGAATTTACATTTTCTGACTCCAGACAACTTGGTTCACTCATATCAACAGAACTTGGTTGTGGAACAAACTGAGTTGGTGTGAACTGTTCAGATTTGGTGGGATTGACAGATTCACACTTATTATCTGCACAAGTTATTTTTAACTGGTCTGCATGTCTACGGACAATAAGTCCATCATTTGTTTTTACTTTATAAGACACAGGTCCTGTACATTGAACAATTTGACCTGGTATCCATTTTTTCCTTCTCCCATAATTTCTTAGATACACATTATCATTAACACCAAATTCTCTTTCAATGCATGTGTTGTCATGATTTAATGGAACTATTTTTGAATTGGCATCTGAAAGTATTATGCTATTATTTAGATCCTTAACTGACATAGATTTCTTTGATTGATCAATTTTCTCAGGTAATCTGATAGTGCTTTTTAGTAACCAAAAATACTGTTTAAAAGTAATATCCTGGACAATATCACTTTGCAACTGTGATCCAGTATTTGAAGTGGGTGTATTAAATTGCAAAAATCTTTTTCTTCTTTTGATGTTACCCTTTTAGTTTCTGTAAGTGCTAATGATGCTAGCAAAGTTGTTTGATGATCACATTCCTTCTTACTAATGTATTCTCTTTAAAACATTTGAAATTGCCATATCACCATAATCATTTATTAAGTTACAAATACTTTGTTTAGGCAACTCTGACTGATAATGGACTGCATCTTCTCCATCTTCTATATTATCTTCACAAAGGTTTTTATTTCTTATTTAATATGGCCTTAAGTCATCATTCACAGACTCTTCAGGCCAACCATTCTTACAGTACTCATATACTTTTATTAAGCACTCTTTTTGTGTTTCTCTTTTAATATCATTCACATTTATATTGGAGTTATCCATGATAGTGAAGAGAACAAATACATCTTCTGGTACATAGCTAAGGCTTTGGTTTTTTAAAGGTAATCTACTAAGACTATCTGCACTATTCTCAGATCCAGGTTTGTATTTCAATTCATAATTGTATGCAGTTAGTGTGATAGCCCATCTTTGAATTCCTGGTGAGGCATGCTCAGGTAGGGTTTTGTTTTCTCCAAATAAACCTAGCAATGGTTTATGATCTGTAAAGATGGTGAACTTCCTACCAAACAGAAACTTATGAAATTTCTTAACACCAAAAATGATAGCTAAGCCTTCCCTATCTAACTGAGAATAATTTTTCTCAGCCTGGTTCAAAGATCTACTGGCAAAAGCAATGGGTCTGTCACCCTTCTCATCCATGTGGGACAAGACTGCTCCTACACCATCTGGTGAAGCATCACATGTTAATATAAGTCTTTTCCCTGGGTCATAGTGAGTTAGTAAGGTGTCAGAAGACAAAGCTTCTTTTGCTGTATTAAAAGCAGCTTCTTGTTGTTTACCCCAGTGCCAAGTTGCATTTTTCTGTAGCAGCTTGTACAGTGGTGATAGTTTACCAGACAGATTCCCTATGAACTTTGCATAGTAATTTATCAAGCCCAAAAAAGCTCTTAGTTGTTGGGTATTTTCAGGTTTGGGTGCTTCTTTAATGGCTTTTGTTTTCTCAGGTTGAGGTCTGATACCTTGCTTGCTTAATATATAACCAAGAAAACTAATTTCTGTCAGCATGAATTGACATTTATCTTTGTTTATCTTTAAACCTTTTTCACCAACAATTTTCAAGACTTTATCTAGTGTTTTAAGATGTTCAGTGTCATTCTTACCAGTTATGTACACATTGTCAAAGTAAACACAAACATTTGGAATATCCTTAAAAATACTGTCCATGACAGCTTGGAAAATTCCAGGGCTGGATGATATGCCAAAACATAGTCTTTCATATTGGTAGAGTCCTTTATGAGTGTTTATTGTCGTATAGACTTTTGACTCTGGATGCAGTTCTAGTTGAGTGTAAGCATGACTAAAGTCTAATTCAGTGAATTTGTCTCCTCCTGCCAAATTCAAAGAAATTTCCTCAATGTTAGGTATAGGGTACCTATTTAGCTCTATTTGCTTATTCAGTGTAGTTTTATAATCTCCACAAATTCTTATAGAACCATCCTTCTTTAACACTGGCACAATGGGCGTTGCCCAATCGGAATAGTCTACCTTCTTTATGATGCCATTAGATTCCAATCTACTTAGCTCATTTTCAATTTTATTCCTCATTGCATAAGGTGGAACTCTAGCTTTGCAGTATCTTGGATTTGTGTCTTTAATGCTTATCTTCACTGTTCTATGATTTAGTAATCCAGAATTGCCAAAAACACTTTTATTTTCAGATATTACTTTATCTAGTGAAGTAAGACTAGATTCTCTTACATTCTTCAATGAACAAATACTCTCCCAATTTAACTTAAGATCACTTAACCAGTTCCTACCTAGTAATGGTGGTCCATTTCCTTCAACCACAAGAAGAGGAAGTTTAACACTTTGACCATTATAACTTACATGAACCATACACTCTCCTATTACCGGAACATTGTCACCAGTGTATGTTGTTAGACACTTGTGACATGGCTGTAGAGGCACTGATCCTCCTGTGACAGCGTCAAAGTCCTTCTTTGTTATGACTGTTAGAGATGCTCCAGTGTCAAGTTGGAAGCTGATGCTCTTACCGTTGATATTAACTAGTACATTGATGGGAGCATGACTTTCTGATTTCACAGAGAACAGGTTGAAATCCGGCTGCGAATCAGTTTGAGCATTTTCACAGGTAGAGTGGTTCATTGGTTGGGTTAGGTAGTCTTGGTGAGAGTTAACATAGTACTGCCTTTGGTTGCGGTACTGTCTTGACTGGCTAAATTTAGCAACAGACGAAGACTTTGCAAAGCAGGCCTTGGCAATGTGACCTTGCTTACTGCACTTATAACAAGTTGCAGACTTGAACTTGCACCGATGAGATGCATGGGGACCTTTGCATCGATGATATTTTTGATAATTATTACTAGATTTAGATCTAGGCTTTAAACGTGCAGGCTGTTTAGCATAAGTTGGAATGCTCTGATGGGGTTGGTGTTTGTTGACTAACCTGCTGTTTACTGCATGGATCTCTGAAGACGTTAGAGATCTCGCCGCATCGGATGACTGCTGGTATGAAGTTGCAAGTTGTATTGCTTTTTCTAATGTTAGATCTGACTCGAGCAGCAACTTTCTTTGAATATCAGGGCTGTTTACACCTGTCACAAACTTTTCACATAGTCTGTCAGACAGCGTATCGCCGAATTCACAAAATCTACTTAAATGACGTAAAGCAGCAACATATTCTGATATTGACTCGTTTGGTTGACGAGTCCTACTGTCAAATCTAGCTCGACATAGAAACTTTGATGGGGTAGGCGCATGGTGGTCTGTTAGCAATTTGCTCAGCTCGTTAAAGCTCTTGGTAGTTAGACTAGCTGGTGCGCACAAGTCCTTTAGTAGCCTAAATTGTTGAGGCCCTATGACTGTTAACAAAACAGCTCTCTTTTTGGCTTCTATCGTCACGTCGTTAGCTTCAAGGTAAAAGCTTAACCTATCTAGGTAATCTTGAATGATTTCATCATTCGAATCAAATTCTTTTATTTGGCCATACAGCGCCATTATTCTAGAAATACTTAGCTAATAAGCTCTAGCAAACCTCTTTTTTGCGTAAATAGGTGCTCTTTCTAGTAGATTTTTATCCTCGTCGCCAAAATGTGATAGATTGTAATCACTGACGAGAAGCCGCGTTGGTTGTTAACAGTCTTTATTTACAGCCATGAAGGAAAGAGGAAGAGGAAGTACGATATCAAGGGACATCACTCAAGATAACAATATACATATAATACTAATACAGAAGAGTGAGTTCCCTTGACCTCACAATTATCTCAATCTATTACATAAAGAACAAAAGCTTAGTTCCATACAATTATTAATTGGTTTGTTTCACTAGTTTTTGGGCTTTCTCTTTTTATAACACTTCAGCTAACGTGTCCTGTCCTTGAAAGTAATGAAAGCTCTGTGAGAGATTTTGTATTTAAATATCGGCTCCCAACTATTTTAGAATTTTTTAAATTAATATTTGCAAAAAAAAAATTAAAATATGCCTGAATGACACTTTTAAATTACCTCATCAATATCTCTCAAGTTAAACCACATCTTGATGGGGAAGTTGAGATCCACATCCCCAATCCTAACATCAGCTTCTCCAATGACTTTCTGCCTAGCGTATTTGTCCACTGAGAAAACTTGCAGCTGAAGAGACTTGCCCAATAGATGGTCAGGCTCCACAGTGAACAGAAACCTTTCTTTAAATACAGGATCTGTGGTGTTTTTCACAGTCTAGAAATATTGTAAAACAGAAATCTTTTTTTAAATACAGGGTCTGCTGTGTTTTTCATGCATTGAAGCAAAATAATTTAATTGCAAACTGCTAGTTTTATTTCAATTACGGTTGGAAAATTAGGTTTAGACAAAAATTAGTGATTTACGCAGTCTAATTGTAAAAAATGTCTTTCTTACAACATCAAATTATGCAATACAATATTTGCAAAGAAAAATAAAACTAATATTCTCGTGAAATTTAGCATATTTCATATTAAGTATGAATCTGATGAAAAGAAATTACTACACAGAAATAAAATTCACCATGAGGAAACCAGCAAATCATATTTAGGTATAGTTTGTGGTAGGGATAGACTAATGCTTGTAGAGGAGAAACTGTCATTACCTTAGTTTGAAATTTGTCATCACCTCCTGGCATCAGAATTCCTTTGATGAAAGTATCTAATGTACCAGAATAAGGGTTTGGAGTTAGATCTCGACATTGGAAGATACTAACAATCAGTTCAGAAACTTCCCTGAAAAGTAAACAAATTTAATATTCAAAATCATTCTTTTTTTCATTTTAGCAGTTTATCTTAACCATAATATTTATAATTTTCTAAAAATTATAGCACCAGGATCTGTATTTGCCTCATTGCTCATTTATTGATTTACTTAGAAGGTGATTTGATTTGTTGAGCAGTACAGCTTTACTAAGTACCCAGCATTAATGTGGGAAAAGTTTGACAGTTGAGCAAGGAGCTGGCTCTATCATCTATGTGTGCATTATGGTCATTGAAACAAGGGAGACGACTCTCAGGGTACCATCAGAATATACACATTTACCGAAACCTTTTAGTCTGAATATAAAATTTCTATTCTAACAATCAGATGAATAAAACCTATGGTTATTAAGTCATCTGAACCACCGAAAATTGTATTATAGCTTGGATTCTCTAATAACACTTTAGCCAAAAACATCCACTAGCATCAATCCTAAAACTAAGCTTCCCACAAAGTGACACTTACTTGTCATATTCAAGAGCAAATTCCAACTGTCCAATTTTCGGCATATCTGGCTGCATGTCCAAGACACTGGAATCAGAGGCTACGCTGTCACATGACTCGGCTCGCCTGATTCCATGACCCAGATCCATGTCAGAGGCTGCAAGAAAATTGGGGTGGTCTCAGTTGTCAGACATAACAAAATTTCATGTGTTACTTGGTGGATAGATAGGATAAATTAAGTTAATGTTACTGTTATAAGGCTCAGAACTATAATTATGTTTGCTGGGAAACTGTGGAACTTTGGTTCTGTTTTCTGTTTTAATGGGAAGTTGGGCATAGTGCTGCAATCTCTTTATGTAACAAGGTCAGAGAAACAAATGAACTCAACTTCCTCTGCCCTTTTGGTAAACATAGTTTTTTTTTACTCCAGTGGAAGTCTAATAGAGTAATATAATGTAAAACAAATGTTCAATAAAATAAAAACCATTTACGTCCTAGTTTTTCTTAAAAATAAAAACTAGAGCATTAAATTTATTATTTTTTATTATAAGTGTTCATAACAATAAGTACATCCATTAACCAAAAAAAAACCTTAACTAATAACAGAGCCAAACAACCAACCAACATTTAAAAAAAAAAATAATTGAAAAAAAAAAGCCAAAGTAAACATAAAGGTCTTTTAATAAAGTCACCATAAACCAAAGCAGTTTCCAACCTATTTAAACCCATATTTTACTTACCAAGCAAAGTTGTATGATACTAAATTGATAGGAATCAATATAATTTGATTCAATTTATGATTCACTCAAAAAAAATTTCAAGTAAAATTTAAACAAGGGTTAGAAAACTCACAGGGCTAATTTTAAAAATATCTTTTCTTCTCTCAAAATTATACACAATTGTTTGAAAGCTTTTTACATTGTAATTTTGTCGTATTTAGAAATTGCTCAATTATACAGAGAGGTGACAACAAAATAGGTTTGTCAGGAAATTGTAAAGGCTACATTTTTGGAACCTAAGTATCTTTTACATTAATTATTGTTGGCATTATTCAAAATGAAATTTTAGCTGAGAATTTCAGTTTAAAATAATTTTTTTAAACAAAAATATTTTTAAAACTTTAAAGAAAAAGCATTAGATCTATATATTTTTGTGTGTAGAGTTTACGTTTCAAAGTATTCCTATTTTCTAGCCCTACCTATTTTAATTTAAACTAAATAAAAAGAGATTGTCTTTGAACATTTTTACAAGAGTTATATTTTTAAAATTAGAATAATTTAAAGTAAACTTTTAAAAAATAAAGTATTATAATTCTAAGGCTTAGGAAATTGTGCAATATGAATATAATCACCTTTCTGAAATAATTTCATTTCAAAAGAAATTTACCCTAAAGTTATTAAACCTCTCCCCTCATGCAATGTTTTTATATAACCATCACTTCCAAGGTAATTTCTACATAATACATCATGTTTATTATAAAACTTCCATTTTACTTTACATAACTTAAAGAAGTAATTTAAACCCCCTTTTAAACTCTTTATCCCTTGAGTTTCAATTCCCAGTTTTTGGGTTGATTTTTTAAAATTGAAGTTTTTACTATTATTTTTTTTTAAATTAGAACATTAGATGCACTCTTTTTTTTAAACATTTTTGCTGAAGAGTTTATTTTTTAAAGAAAAACCTATCAACAATTTTATTCTCTTTTAACGTTTTTCTAAAGCCATTTTTTTAAATACTGAAATTACTTTGGAAGATTTTTTTTTTCCTGACCTCGATCAATGTAAATGACTTCAGAGAAAACTCCCTTCTCTCCAAGAGCTATTGCATATCCTGGGCGTGTGGGAAGGGAGAGAATTCAGTCCTAAAACAGAGCAGACATTACCCTTCAGGGTAGATAGATAATTGTATTTGGTTAAGCTCCCCTTACTTTTGCTAATTCTCTCACTACATGTATTGCACTGGCTCCTCTTGAACCTTCTCTATCTTATCAAGCCTTGTGAGATCAATAATCATCCTCACATTAGAAAAACAAAACATTTTTTTTTTAAGTTTGACAATTTTCATGTAGGCCACTGGCTAGCAAGTGGGAAAAAATATATATATATAAAAGCCTATTGCAATACATTTTTAAAACAATTCCTGGATATAGATATTTTTACTTTCTCGTATATACGAAGTATAGAGAAAGTCTTGTAATCGTGCAAAAAAAAAAATCGAGATTTTTGCAAATCTCGACGTTTTACATCTCACTGATACGGAAAAACATAATTTTGCAATCTTGTCCGTATGTCTGTGTGTCCGTGTGTGTGTGTGTCTGTGTGTGTGTGTGTCCGTGTGTAAACACGATAACTTGAGTACCGTTACAGCTAGGTTGATGAAATTTCATATACAAGTATTATATCAAAATCGTAGATCCGTATCAACTTTTGAGCGATTTCGGATAACCGGAAGTGGTACTTTTTCTACTTTGAATTTTTCAAAAGCCTATAACTTGAGTACTATTTCAGATAGATAAATGAAATTTCACATGTAAGTAAAAGATCTAATTCTCTACCTTCTGTTAAATTTTGAGTAATTTCCGTTGACCGTAAGTAGTACTTTACGCTACTTCCGATTTCTCAAAAAACTAATGTAAATTTATAAAGTACTAATACTATTGCGCACTATTATACACACCTTTATTAGGCGTTCGCTTGGTGCGCAATTGTTTTTTACTGAGATTCTATTCTATTTTTAAAAGTTTCAGTATTTAAAATGGATTAAAGATCATAACTATATCCCCAGTTACCATCCCCTGTTGTTTTATATAAGAATATTCGAGAAAGTTTAGGGGAGATCACTACCGGTTTATTGTTAATATTTCTAGGATTACAAGTTTGAGAAAATTCTGGTACCTTGCTGTGAGGAATGAACTTTTAAAACAATTTACTATTAGGGTTATGGTTAACGTGCACTGAGATGTAGGTAGACAACAGCAATGCTTTCTACATGTCAATATAATCAAAGTGCAAATAGTTTAATATTTTGCAGTCTATTTCCAAATGACAATTGTAGGTCTACACGAACATAATCAGTAACAATGAGAGACCTAGAATGAACTGACCAATGGACATAATGAACTGACCAATGGACATAATGAACTGACCAATGGACATAATGAACTGACCAATGGACATAATGAACTGACCAATGGACATAATGAACTGACCAATGGATATAATGAACTGACCAATGGACATAATGAACTGACCAATGGACATAATGAACTGACCAATGGACATAATGAACTGACCAATGGACATAATGAACTGACCAATGGACATAATGAACTGACCAATGGACATAATGAACTGACCAATGGACATAATGAACTGACCAATGGACATAATGAACTGACCAATGGACATAATGAACTGACCAATGGACATAATGAACTGACCAATGGACATAATGAACTGACCAATGGACATAATGAACTGACCAATGGACATAATGAACTGACCAATGGACATAATGAACTGACCAATGGACATGAAACAACAATAAGACTTATAATGAACTGACCAATGGACATAAAACAACAACACGACTTATAATGAACTGACCAATGGACATAAAACAACAGTGAGAATGAACTGACCAATGGACATGAAACAACAGTGAGACCTATAATGAACTAACCAAAAATGAGACCTATAATGAACTGACTAATGGACATGAAACAACAATGAGACCTATAATTAAACTAACCAACAATGAGACCTATAATGAAACTAACCAACAATGAGACCTATAATGAACTCACTAACAGTGAGACTTATAATGAACTGACCAATGGACATGAACCAAAAACAACAATGAGACCTATAATGAACTGACCAATGGGTATGGACAATACAACAGTGGCACTGAAAGTGAACTGACCAATGGAAGATGTTCCTACAGAGACAGGACTGCTGCGATTGCTTTCATCTTGACCTTGTTGCTGCTGCTGCTCAGTGCCCTGGGTGGGGCTGTTGTTACGATTAGGGTTCGAGATGAGGGTGTCGTATTGGGCATATTTGTTGCCTGTGTCTAACGTGAACTCTGAGCTGTCAGATCCCACCTGCGAAGATTTGAGAATCGATATTTTCATTAATTCGATTTTTTTAGAAGAAAAATATTTTTTTATTTCCCAGAAAAAAATGTAAGACGTTGAAAAAATATATGATTAGTTTTAGTTAATTACTTATAATAAGAGATACAGTGTAGAATTTTAAAACCTAACTTATTTACTATAGGGTCATCCATAAATGACGTCACACTCGAAGGGGGAGGGGGGTCCGTATTTTGTGACGGTGTGTGATGAAGGGAGGGGGTTTCAGATGATGTGACGTCACACTTTTGCATTATGTTGGAAAACGAATTTTAGCCGTTATTTCGTGTTTTAGAAAACTGTTTTAATATACTGTAATAGGAATTGATTAAAATACTCTATGTTGCCATCGTTCAGACGAGATTTTGGAAAAAATATCGTATTTTAAGAAAAATTCAACTGCAATTTTGAGGGGGGGGGGGGGGGTTGTAGGCTGAGGTGTGACGTCATTTTAGGGGGGCGGTCTGGCTTTTTGTGACAATGTGTGACGGAGGGGGGGGGGGAATCGTCAAAAAAGCGTGACGTCACTTATGGATGACCCCTATTTACCCCTTTAACATAGATCTACCTACAATAATGAAGTATGTTACAAATTTTAAACTGCTCTCTTAAGTTAAAATATTGATCAATTTTTTTCTGTTTCGAGCAGTTTAAAATCCTAAAAAAAAACCTGAGCTCTAACAAAATGGACGTCAAACAAACATCCCCTGAAGGACAGATCCAATCTTGTAAGCATTAAATATTTACCATAAAACCGTGTACTTTTTCATGCTGGGTCAGGCCGGCCTTCTCCTCGTCTGACCCCAGACACCAGGCCAGGTGGTAGATACCAAACAACCGGAAGAGGACACCCAGCGCCACCGCCACCACGGCGACCAACACGATGACGAGCAGGGCGATTCCCCAGTCACTCATGGCGGGAAAAGAGACCTGAAAATATGGCAGACGATAGTTATTATTGGTAACAATATTTCAAATATTCATGAGTTGTTTGTTCTAACCAGAGTTTCTTCCAGGCATCTCTTCGTTTACCGCCCCCCACCCCCCGAACGAGGTGGAATTTATATAGTAAACATATACTTTTACTAGTGTCCGCCCCCCCCCCCCCCCGGAAAATGTAGAAATGTAGACCGCCCCCCCCCCCACCTTAAAATATCAAGTGCCCCCCCCCCCCCCCCCCCCGAAGAAAAAAGTGGAAGAAACACTAGTTTTAACGCAAACAAACGACGTCATGCCAGTCCGTTGTTTACTAATTCATCTGTTTTAATTTGTTTAGGATTTGTAAGTTCAGTGATAGTACAGTAGGGTCACAGAAAGAGTCAGCTACAAGAACTGCCGTGAGATGCCAATTACGCAACTACCAAATGGGGAGGGGGGGGTCACGTCCAATGCCCCAGGACAAAATTGAAAAAAGTATATTAATAAAGAAAATATTTTCTTTAATCAGTCTCCCCTGAAGGTTTAAGTTACTTCCTTCCCAGAAGAAAAAAAAGCCTGAAAGAAACCCTGCCGATTGTGAAGCCAGGAATTGGTAACTCTCTCTCTCTCTCTCTCTCTCTCTCTCTCTCTCTATATATATATATATATATATATATATATATATATATATATATATATATATATATATATATATATATATATATATATATATATATATATATATATATATATATATATATATATAATATTTTGTATTGATAACATAACAATTTTTAACAAATTGTTGTTTATGTGACGTTCAAAATTTTGCAATTGTTGACATAATACGACACGAGCGCACCATTGCTAAAGGGTCATTTATTCATGATGGTAGTAGATAGGGAGCAGAGTTTCTTCCAGGCATCTTCGCCCCCCCCCCCCCCCTCCCCGAGCGAAATAGAATTTATATAGAAAACATATACCCCGAAAAATTCAAGGCCAATATTTAAACAGGAAACCCCTAGTTCAGAAGGCAGATCTAATGAAAATAAAACAAAAGCTATCACATATTTATATATTTAAAACTTTTGATTTATTTCACTCAACACATTCCATATTCTGCTTTTAATATTGAACATCAAACTGTTTTGAAAAAGAATAAATCTCACGTTAAGCATTGCAAGCAGCATGAAATAAACCACATACACATCATATGTTATTTAATTAGTAGGCAAGTCTTAAAAAATCGTGACGTAATTATAGGCAGGGGATGACGCCAGTGGCTGCGAGTGAAAAATAAGATAACTTTACAGAAGCGGATCTCAAGATGGCGACTTCATTAAGCAACAGGAATTTACAGATGCTGATTTCTTGCTTAATTGCTTAATGAACGTGCCTTCAGATCAACTCTTGTAATCTCGTGTTGGTTAATGAACCGTTTTCTTGAGGTCAACTCCTAAACATTCTTGATCTAAATTTTCCCCAACTGGCCAAGACGTTCTAATTGAAGCTCTTTTTCTTTCCCTGACTTTAAAAGTTTTAAAAGTTCGGTGATGCCTTTTCCCCCTCCCTACACCAGCCTTCCAGTAACGCAATTCCTCCCCCCCCCCCCACTCCCTGCCCTAGCCTTTCAGTGACGCCCTTCCCACCCCTCGCACACTAGCCTTTCAGTGACGCCATTCCCCCCCCCCCACCCTAGCCTTTCAGTGACGCACTTCTCCCCCTCCCTACAATTGCCTTCCAGTAACGCCATTTCCTCCCCCCCCCCACTCCCTCCACTTGCCTTCCAGTAATGCCCTTCACCCCCTCCCTCCCCCCCTGTCTTTTAGTGACGCCCTTCCCATGTTCCTGTCGCTCCCGTTGAAACACGTCACAGAGACGGACAAGACAGAGGATATCCATTCCGACAAGCAGTGATTTATTTTTTCCAATCCACAATCCAGCCCTACGTTGACCCCTCACCACCCTCACCCCAAGCTAAAGAGGACAGAAAGAAACCCACCCATCCTCCCCCTGACAACGAATGGCCTTCTAGATGTTTCTTTCTGACGTCCAGAAACTACAATAATATACATATCATATTTAACAGAAACTTTTCATAAAACAATAAACGTATTTTTTGTGTAAAGAAACGGAAGAAAAATTTTTTTTTTTATTGCAGCCATCAGAAAAATGTAAATAAAGCATGCTCTTTACATATGAGCCGCTGCCTATCCTTGTCTTAATAAATCAGAACTGACATTTCACACACACACATCCTCCCTCCCCCCCCCCCCCCCACCCCCCACATGCACGCTCTCTTGTAACAATCAAATCACGTTTTTCTGCACAGATATCCACGTCACAAGAAAACAAATTAAATCCTTTTCTGTAAACTGACAGTAGCTTTGCGCTTGTCTTCAATATTTTTTTTTTCCTAAACGATACTCCCATCTCCCTGTACAAAGCTGCTTACCTACGATTGGATTAGGCCGTCTGACAACCCGAGTTAATCTTTAGTTTCAATAATGTCACGAGAAAATAATGTGATTTTCTTATGTTGTAGACTACACGCATAAAGAGGTAAAGCGGAGATTTCGCTACAGGCTAGAACAAACTCATTTGCTGAAGAGTTCATTAAGATTGAATTAGCGGGAGAGGAGGGGTTCGACTGTAGTTATAGGTTTGCTGGGTAGGGGAGGATTGGGGGTGGGGCTGTAAGTTTGTGAGGTAGGGGTAGAGTGTAGGTCAGGGGGGTGGGGGACTAGGTCATTGGGAGGGGGGGAGGCTTGTGGATACGGAGAGGCTGTGGTGGACTGTGGTGGAGGGATGGGCTCTAGATTTGTGAGCAAGAGGTAGGTTGTAGGTTTGTGAGCAAGAGGTAGGTTGTTGTAGGGAAGAAGAGGCTGGGATGACTGTAGTCAAAGTTGACTTGTCTGTGCTGTTGTATTGTTTGGTTTAACTGCTAATTGAGTTATGGAATGTACAGCATCCGGCTGTTGTACAGCCTCCGGTTGTTGTACAGCATCCGGCTGTTGCACAGCCCCCAGTTGTTGTACAGCATCCGGTTGTTGTACAGCATCCGGTTGTTGTACAGCATCCGGTTGATATACAGCATCCGGTTGTTATACAGCATCCGGTTGTTATACACCATCCGGTTGTTGTACAACATCCGGTTGATATACAGCATCCGGTTGTTATACAGCATCCGGTTGATATACAGCATCCGGTTGTTATACAGCATCCGGTTGTTGTACAGCTTCCGGCTGTTGTACAGCATCCGGTTGATATACAGCATCCGGTTGTTATACATCATCCGGTTGTTGTACAGCATCCGGTTGTTGTACAGCATCCGGTTGTTGTACAGCATCCGGTTGTTGTACAGCATCCGGTTGTTGTACAGCATCCGGTTGTTGTACAGCATCAGTTTAAGCATCCCACTCTCTTATCAAACGGCCTTTAAATTTATAAAGCTAGAGATCTCTTCGGATCGGATTTACGATTAGAGTTTAGAACTGAAGTTAGGATTACATTGGTCTCTTTATAACATTAATACAAATTATTGGGTTTGTAAGTACCAATTAGCTTTTTACTCAGCGATCGTGGGTTATCGGGATTTAATCTTGAATTTTTTTTTTAACTATATCATATAGGTTACATTACCATATCATTATTATCAACGTCAGTTTATAATTGGAACTTGGTCACCAATTCAATGAATAGTCATCTGGTGTATGGGTCAATTTTCGCTTTTCTAGAATCCTCCATTGGTAAGAAACCTAGACACCCCTTAAGTTGACGCCAAAAACAACATTGACTCAAAGACTGCCCAAACAACACGAGGAACCTAAGGTACCATGCTGAGTCATGTGATTTCCGGTCATTTTTCTCTTGCTGTGCAAACGTCAGAGTGCTATAAATAGATGCAACGTCACGCAGTCATGGGGGAGAAATGGAAAAAAAACGAAATAAAATAAAAGCTCTTCTCTACAAATGTGGTGCCAATATTCATCTCGAGTCAAACCATCAAACGTAGCTCCCCAACTTCATCTGGATTTGATTTAGCCGATTTGTATTTTTTTTTACTGCTGAGTGAAAGTGACTGCTGTCTTTATGAGGCACTTGTAGCTAAGTGCTTTTGTGTGGAAGATTTATCTTTTTCGTTCCAACATAAACCACTAGACATTTTCAGTACTCTTAAGGCAGCGGAATCTCCATAACCAAATTCGCTGAGAATCCTATTTTAATATTTCAATCACAACACTAATCTTAACCCAAGCCTCAACCTCCGTTGTAGCCAGCCTCTTTTCAGGATCACAACCATAACTAGCCCTGACCCTAACTAACTGAACTAGCGACTCGCTAATGATGTAGCGGCTAACGAGAACGGATCAAAATCTCTTTAATGGCTAATGTCATTCACGATCTGAATCTATAACTGGTTATAGTTAATGTTATGTCACGATAACCTGGATATCTAATTTAAGTTAATGATCTTATACTTTACAAAAAATAATTAATTTTTTAGATTCTCTTTCAATTATGTTGACATATCATTTTTATCGCTAATATCGACTAGATCTAGTAGTTCAGTAGATCTTGAGGTGGGGATGTGAAGTTATGACTATAGCCCAACCCCACTGCTACCCCAACCCGGGCATCCTTTATTCGAAATGGAAGAAATGTTGTTTTGATATTGTAGATCAGACATTCGAAGCTTGCAACCTGTTGTATGATTTAGCTGTAGGCTTCATGTTGCTGATGAAGGAATGTGCCGAGCCCTCAACGAGAGAATCAATAAACGTGAGTACTCCTGGTTCTACAGAGGTCTGTTAAGTTCTATAAAATTCTTTTCACTTGTGCTAAGGCTGGATGACACTTATTACGATGACGTTCACGTGAATGGCATCAATGTACATGACATTCACATGGCATCAATGCAGATGGCATTCACAAAGCATTTAATGACGCCATGACATTTTAGCTCTGAATAATTTGTGATGTAGTTTTAGAAAAATCTTTACATAGAATATGCCTGTAAAGAGGACATGAGATATGTACTGGCTATCGTAAGGAGGCCTTCATTTCGTTTCAGTTAAACTATATGAACTGTGCAGGGGGGAATTAGTTACATGTAGGCACTTCATAAGGTATAGGTGTAACCATGGACAAGTTTATGTAGTTCAAGTCAGAAGCTCAAGTAAGGAGAATTAATAGGTATGTTAGGTTTTGTCAAGTTAAAGAATTAATTAGGGAAGTAAGTAAGTGTATTGCGTATAGTTAAGCTAATGAGTAAACTAGAGGTAGCTCAGCCAGCAATGTGATGACAGTAATAGGAAAATTGAAGACAGCAGGGATGTATTGGGAGATTGCAAAATTAACATCCGGGGATCGGGCAAAATGGTGATTTTTGGTTGAGGCCCTATGTTCCACAAGGAGCGTTAAGTAAGTCAATAGGAAAACAATGTAGCATACGCTTAAACAAGGGCATTGGTTACATTGGTTAGTCGAATTTAGTAATGAGTAGCAAGTAAAATTACAACTTTAACAAACGTGTGTGTGATAATATCATGGACGTTATGGGAAATGGGTTGTTTACTACCTTATCATTTGAGACGTTATGGGCTGTTGACAATCATTTCATTTGAGACGTTATGGGCTGTTGACAATCATTTCATTTGAGACGTTATGGGCTGTTGACAATCATTTCATTTGAGACGTTATGGGCTGTTGACAATCATTTCATTTGAGACGTTATGGGCTGTTGACAATCATTTCATTTGAGACGTTATGGGCTGTTGACAATCATTTCATTTGAGACGTTATGGGCTGTTGACAATCATTTCATTTGAGACGTTATGGGCTGTTGACAATCATTTCATTTGAGACGTTATGGGCTGTTGACAATCATTTCATTTGAGACGTTATGGGCTGTTGACAATCATTTCATTTGAGACGTTATGGGCTGTTGACAATCATTTCATTTGAGACGTTATGGGCTGTTGACAATCATTTCATTTGAGACGTTATGGGCTGTTGACAATCATTTCATTTAAGACGTTATGGGCTGTTTAAAACCTTAACATTTGAGACGTTATAGGCTGTTGACAAAAAAGTACGTCTTGAGTAATGAGCTCTTGACCATTAGGGACGTACTGTTGTCGATATCAGGGACGTTTTTGGTAATGGGTTATTGATAAACGAAAATGACGTCCTGGGTTATGGGTTGTATTCAACAAAATTGACGTTTTTGGTTATTTGGTTGTTGACAAACGAAAATGACGTCCTGGGTTATGGGTTGTATTTAACAAAATTGACGTCTTTGGTTATTGGGTTGTTGACAAACAAAAATGACGTCCTGTGTTATGGGTTGTTGACAAACGAAAATGACGTCCTGGGTTATGGGTTGTATTCAACAAAATTGACGTCTTTGGTTATTTGGTTGTTGACAAACGAAAATGACATCCTGGGTTATGGGTTGTATTTAACAAAATTGACGTCTTTGGTTATTGGGTTGTTGACAAACGAAAATGACGCCCTGGGTTATGGGTTGTTGACAAACGAAAATGACGTCTTGTGTTATGGGTTGTTGACAAACGAAAATGACGTCCTTGGTTATGGGTTGTTGACAAACGAAAATGACGTCCTGTGTTATGGGTATTGACAAACGAAAATGACGTCCTGGGTTACGGGTTGTCGACAATCAGTACGACAAGAATCGAGTGTTTTCATTGGTTGCGTCAAGTCGGGCTAAAAATATCCAGGCACTTCCTTCGATAAATCACCAATATTCTAGACCTCCTCGTGAGCGGATACACCTTGAAATAGCAACGAACGGAGACGGGAGACGGGGGGAGGGGGTTCGATGACTCCGGACAAGTGATCAGTAATGTCCCTTCAACTGGGAGAATTAGCTCCCCTGGGCTTGCACTAAACTCCCGTGGCTGCTGGTGATACAAGCACCAGCATCAGGGGGGAGGGGGACAACGGTGCTGGGGGAGACTAATGGTCAGTGGATACTGACCAATAGGCGGGCTGCTGGCCAGAATAATGCTAACCTATTTACTGACCAAAGTAAATAAGACACATTTACATCGTCCCACGCTTGAGCTATAAATGGCGCAAACTTTGACCTCTATTGTCCGTCAGTCTGGTCCATAATTGGCAGGTCGCTGGATTAAGAAAATATCCCATCAATCGTTGAAGCTGTTTGTTTTTTAATCTAGGACCCCGTATAGTAGGCTACGGCTATCCTTGTAAAATAGCCTAAATAAATAATTGCACATAAAAAAGACACAAGATACGACGATACAATATTTTATTTTATTTAGCTTGATTAAAGCCAGATTTGGTGTTAATGTTACTTTATAATTATAGAAATTAAAATTATAATATCATGAAAATAAAAAAAAATTGTCTATACACTAGATCTACATCTTTATTGAGCAGCGTATTTGAACACTGTTGAATTATTTTTCTTTTAGTTTTTTTAATATATTTTTAAAGAGATTTTTTAACGTTTTATTCAAGCAGTGTACGAGACAAAGCCTGCTTATAAACAAAAACACTTTCGATTTGTTGGAGATTTACGTTTATGGGTAGGTTTATGTGAAGGTTTATGTGTAGGTTTTTATGAATGTTTATGTGTAGGCTTATGGGAAGAATAATGGGAAGAAATACGGGAATGGCTATGGGAAAGTTTATGGGAGTTTTATTATACTTGTTGTTTTAAACATTTGTTTAGTTCTGGGGTAAAATACTTGCGTTACTTTATGTGGGTAACCAGGTGGGTTATGGAAAGGTGTAAATAAAAGAGTCGTGTGAGACATATGACATCAGGGGTCATCCATAAATGACCTCACGCTTTTTAACCATATTTACCCCCCCCCCCCTCTCCCTATCGTCACCCAATGCCACAAATAGCCAGACCCTCCACCCCTAAAATGAAGTCACACTTTAACCTTACCCCCCCCCCCCCCTCCCCCCATTCGACCTACTCCCTTCTCACAATTTAATTTTTTTTAAACATTGATTTTTTTAAAAAGTATTTCCCGAGCTCGGTCAACATTGAGTATATGAATCAAATTCTATTACAATTTACAATAACAGCCTTAATAGCACTATTGTTCATGCTTTAGGTAGAGATCAAGCGAGGCCATGTTAAATATATCGACCATTCTTTAAACACCAAGTCAGCAAAAAAACACAAATTAACAAACGTAACAAAACAAAAATCCGGTTCGCTTTTTTTATTTGCGCTTAAACGTTTCCTTCAGACTTCCTGCAAGCCGAGACACACATCCGGGCACCACATCCTGTTGCTATAGAAACCTGTGGCCACATCTGCGAGGACTAGTACAATCCCAGAGTTATTGGAAATAATCTTTAAATGCCACTCCTCTAATTCACATCTTCCCAGGTCATGTGGCTCTTTCA